TTTTTCTTTTTCTTACAGGTGTGTTTAAGTGTATGTAATGAGTGCACGAGAAACAAGCTTGCAGAATGAATCCAGCACACCAGGCCAGAATGTGACACAAGTTATTCAGGCTGCTGGGGTGAGTTGATGTGTATCCTGTGGAGTTATATGTTAAGTGAAGATAGGTCACCTTTCTTCCTTGGTTATTGTTCTTCACCTTTCTCTCTTACCTCTCCTTCCTCCCATACTTTTCCTTCACCTTCCTCCCTTCTTCTTCTTTTTCTTCTTCTTCCTTCCTTCTTTTTTCATTTTTTTTGTTTTTTGTTTCTTGGTTATGTGCTGTGAAAAAATTTCCAGGTAGCTTAACCTTTCAGATTTATATACTTTGAGTCAAGTCATAATTTTATAGTTTTAATGATTTTAGATTTGTGATTTACTTTTAGGGATTATAAGTGAGATTTTTCTGCATAGTAGTAAAAAGTTGCAGTTTATGATTATGAAAGTATATATGAAAAGCAAAGATCACTGAACATTAATTTTTATTTCAGGGTAATGCTCCCAGCAGCAGCAGCAACAATGTCAGTGGAGGCATGGAGTCTCAGTTGGCCCAGCAACTCATGAGTCCGGTAAAGGGGTCCAGCTTGGGGTCGGGTGAGGGAGAGCTGGTGAGGTTATCAGATCCACGCAGCTTACATTCCTATACACCGCACACCTCACCCGTCCCATCTGGCCATGCAACCCCTGTGGCCGCAGAGGTTACCCCCAACACCACCCCTTCCTCCTCTCCCCGGAGACCACTACCCAGTGTGTCTCTGGAACCTCCAGCCAAACGGATAAAAGTGGAGGAAAAACCCACTAATATCTTAGAACTTAGAAATCTCATTATTGATTGGAAGAAGGTTAAACTGGAGAGTGTTAAGGATAAGTACAATGACCATTTGGTGGAAAAATTCTTTCTGGAGAATGATGGCAACATGATGGACTTCCAGTCGTGGTGTAAGAGGCCAACTCCAGAGCTGCTTCAGTACATTCGTCAAAACAAACTGGAAGGGGATGAGTCTCTGGAAGCCAAGTACACCATCCCAAATCCTCTGCAGCTTTCATCAAGTATTCAGGTCAAAAGTGAGCCTCAAACTGATTCTCAGTCTCCATCAAAATCTGGGCTAAGCTTGACTAGCAGAGGGTCATCCTCTCCAGTCAAGCCTAGTAAGGGCATGGCCAGTCCTGGTGTTGCAGCAAGACAAAAGACTCCGTCTACAAGTGAAGCAGCCCCAAGTTCAACCCAGCAAGATCAGATGGTTGAGAAGGCAAGACAAGAAGCGTATGTTATGCAGCGAATTGCTGCCTTGAGAAAAGAAGGACTGTGGCCAGAGAAACGTTTACCAAAAGTTCAGGAGCCTCCGAGGGCAAAGGCCCACTGGGACTATTTACTTGAGGAAATGGTGTGGCTCAGTGCTGACTTCGCTCAAGAAAGAAAATGGAAAAAAGCAGCTGCCAAAAAGTGTGCTCGAATGGTTCAGAAATATTTCCAGGATAAGGCATTGCAGGCACAAAAGGCTGAAAAAGAACAGGAAATGAGAACTAGGAAAATTGCAGCATTTATAGCAAAGGAAATTAGGACCTTCTGGGGCAACGTAGAAAAATTAGTTGAATATAAAGTAACAACCAAATTAGATGAGAAGAAAAAGAAGGCATTGGACCAGCAGCTTAGTTTTATTGTAGACCAGACGGAGAGGTATTCCTCCTGGTTAGCTGAGAGTATGAACAAACCCGTGGACTCGACAGCTGCTTCCACTCGTTCCAATTCACCGTCACGAGACAGTCGTGTTTCTGATGGTGAGTGTACATGCTACCAATTTCTGTAATATTCTGAAAGTTGGCTCGTTGTCAGTAAAGTATACATCCAAGTTTTGAATTTGGGAAGCAAAATTTGTATAGATTGAATTCAGATTTTTTTTAATTGGGTAATTTCACTCAAAAAATGGTTCTTTTGTTATACAAGCCCCACCACCTTTAAATTTTCCACTTGGTATTTGTCATTGTGAACCATTTGTTTTCACTCATAGTATAGTCATTGCAGTGAATCATATAATAGATAGTGAAAACCAAGGAATATGCTGTATTATAATTATGGACTTAAATATTTGTAAATTATTATTTCAGTAACATTAAAAGATGAACAAGTACAATCTGATGAATAATATATTTTACATTAGTTTTTTGTTTTGATGTGTTCTAATTAAATATTCAGGTATATATTTCATATGGCAAATGATCCTCATTAATATCAAGACTTTATTTATTATCAATAACATCTTTAGTAAAAACAGTTCATTAATAAAGAATTATTTGATGCTAAAGACAGTAATAATAAATGTTACCAGAACTATTAGCTAACTTACTCATGTCAAATTACAGAGGAATTTCAGCCAGTGGAATCATCTGATGACGACGAGGGCACCATAGCGAGAGAGGATGACAACCCCGAGGAGCAGGCCTCCGAACTTCAGCTGCTACAGGAGGAATCCAAGCAGACCATCGAGGACCTGCTGAAGGAGCTCCCACCTGGCTACTTAGACCGCGACAGTGACACCTCCAGTTGCAGCGGCGACGCGGAACAGCCCGGGGCCCTGGAGGCTTCGGAGGCTGCAGTGCAAGAGGAGGAAGCCAGTGAGAAAAAGGAGAAGGAGAAAGGGATGGGGAAAGTGGAACCTGTGGACAAGGACAAAGGTGAAGGTGAGGGAGAGGAGGAGGAGGAGGCGATGGAGGTAGAACAGGAGAAAAAGGAGGAAGACAGTGAGAAGGTGGATGGTGTTGGTGAAAGAAAAACTGTTAAAGATATTAGAAAGAGGAAAGTGAAATTAAAGACAAGTGGGGGTGAGGGTACATCAAAGAAAGACGTTGATAAAGATTTCGAGGTGGAGGAATCGGAGGACGACGATGAAAATACAATTGAAGAGCAAGAGGAGAAAGAAGGGGAAGTTAACCATCAAGAGGAGTTAGACGATTTGCAGGTGAGTGTGATTAATCTGAAGATGTTAAGAATAGGTATTGATTTTATTTTATTTTTATTTTTATTTGTTTATTTTATTTTTATTGCCTTCATATTTGAAATGGCTAAAAAGAATAGCATCCATTTCAGTTCTGTCAAGAAATCAGAAAGAGTAAAGATAGGTGCTAGTAAATTCATCGGAAAGAAAAAATATAGATACTAGTAAATTTGTCTGAAAGAAAATATCTAGACCAGATACTTCCATTTCACTTCATTTTCTGCCGTAGTAGATCAGAAAGAAATGTTTTCTTAGACCTGTATGATATTTTAGAGACTTAACTTTGTTTAACCCAATGACGCCGGGTGTACTAAAGGAAAATAAAACTCTACGCTCTGGCAAACAAAGGCAGCGCGCCGACTTTGAGCGCCGGAGTACGGGGCGTCAGCCCGAATCACTGGCTCGCCGCGCTTTGGCGCGCCGCCGGCTGGTTTGGCCGCACGCCACCTTTCGAGCGATTTGTTTACACGCGTATCGCCGTCACCCGGCGGCAAGGGGTTAAATGCTTGTAGGCATTAGGGATAAGACAGAAGCATACAAGAAGAGTTGTTATTGGGAAAAGTTATACACACTAACAGTTTCATATTAGGTTTATAATATAGAATTATATAAGCTAGGAAGAGTACTTCAAGGAGGAAATAAAATTATGTTGGTATGGGTCATTTGTGTCCAATTTAACCCACTCATGCTAGGTGACTTTTAATTACATTACAACATAGGGGACCAAAATGTCTAAGTAACAAGAATCAATGCTATATGTATCAATCCTGCTCTTTATGTCTTGTTCACAAAACAGTTATTTGCTTGGTTCCTTACTGTAGTCCTTGAAAATGCACAGCCCCTCAGATATAGGTATAAAGTATCTCTCTACTGTGCTGCAGTGGTAAGCATTTAGGGAAAGATCAATACAGTTGCCTGCCCAACATGTGACTAATTGTGACATGGAAACATCTTAGCATGAGTGGGTTAACGCGTTACAGCTGGATCACGTGTATAGACGTCATAACAAACCGCTTGATCTGCTGGGTACAGCTATAAGCGTGATGAAATTACTGGAGTCTATGATGCCGAGAGATTTCTAATACTGTCACTGATGGATGAAGCACGGTTACATTGAATTAGATATGAAACTTGTTATAAAGTTAATAATTTTATTAATTTATTTTTATTTATTTATAAATTTTTAAGGAAGATACTTTTGAGCCTTATTTTCACAGCCTGTGAATATGACTAACCAAGGATCTAAGATCAAGAGATTTTTTAATTAAAAGTAACATATCAGACAAAGGACACCTCATTTGAAAAAAGGATCTTATATTATACAAACCCCTCTTACAAGTTCTCCTTCAGTATTTGTCTTTGTGAACCACTAGTTTTGACTCTTAAATCTGGAATAAGTGCCTCTTGATGTTATTGGTACATGTTTCGCATATAGGAAGTGAAACTGGTGGTTCTCACCTCATTCATAGGGTGGACAGTTCTGTTGTTAGACTACATTTTACTATTGCAAATGGCACTGCCCTTTTTTTTAAACCAATACCTCTAGTATTATCGTCAATTGTGTTAAATAACACTTTATGATTTGTATTTATATATTCAAAATTAGAAGACATATTTCAAGTGTTTAGGTTTTGCTTTACCCTGCAGTGTTAACAGGATAGGCTTGTGCTGGCAGGAGTATAACAACATCAGTTTGTGTAGAAACTAGTTTGTCCTGGTTATGATGCTGAATATCAACCCTAGTAATGTTTCACAAATAAAAAAGGGAATGAAACTTTTCCCTCTAGGGTAGGCAAAAGAGCAATCTCAGGGTTTATAAAGAATCTAGAGGGAGTCCATGGTCCTATAATCTTATGGAAGGAGAATATATAAAGACAGAATATGCACTTTCCCCTGTAGTTTTGGTGCATTTTGATACATACAGTTGGCTCCACATGTGCTTAGCAACCGAGGAATTAATCAGTAATCCCAGAGACCACACCAGATTTCCCAATTCTTTGAATTTGTGGGAGTGTTTTTCTTTCTTATTGATATTGATATTTTTATTCTTATAGATATTATGATTATTAGATAAGATTTTAATAACATTAAACACAGTAATACAAATGAGGCTTTCCAAAAATCATGGAATGGGGTAAACAGGTGAGATAGGTACGACTAATAACGTACTCCTCGGTGACTAAGGACTTGTAGAGCTATGTGTAAAGACAGTAGATGAACTTATTTTACAGTGGGCATGGCATGTATGATAACTTGAACTATTGCAATGTGTCATATTCTATACCTTGCAAAGTATTCATCTACTTGGGTCATTTCAGAAAATAGAATCTCTTATCTACCACCACTGCAAATGGTACCATAATCACTAGTATTGATTTTGACTTGTATAGTTATTGTTATTGTCAATATTTCAGAAGTCCTAGTTGCTCTACCTCAGGATAACTATATGTACATGTGTCTGTTTCTATCTTGCTCTGTACCTATGTATATATGTATTTTATATGTTATGTTAATTTTTTCAGGCGGAAAATGAAATGTCAGTTGAAGAGTTGAGAAGAAAATATGCAGAATTAGCTGCCAGTGCTGAACCAATGGAGGAAGACATCGACAACGAAAGTTCAGATGATGATGATGAGGACAATGAAGATGATGAGGAAGAAGAGATGGAAGTCGAAGGAGAAGAGGAAGAACTGCATGAGGATTCCGACAGGGACGAAGAGTGTAGTGAAGAAGGGGAAGATACTCCTAGTGATGAGGAGGAGGAGGACCTTGGCCTGGGCTTGGCAACACTCATGGATGAGAATTTCGAGACCAAGGACAAAGATACCAAGGGTGACAGCGAAAAGGCAGACAAGGAGCTCCAGGATGCCTCCGCAGTGGCAGAAGCACTTCAGCCCAAAGGCTTCACCCTGTCTTCCACTTCTGTGACTACACCCATTCCTTTCCTGTTGAAGCACATGCTGAGAGAGTACCAACATGTCGGCTTGGACTGGTTAACAACTATGTATGAAAAGAAACTAAATGGTGAGATTTTTTTTTTATGTATGATTTCACAGCTGTTTTTTTTTTTATATATAGACTACAGATCTAGATAAGTTTTGTAAACAAAAGGTTCATGGTTGACAGCTTAATCCCACTGAAGATCATTCCTATGCTCTTGGTGATGCCAAAATTAGTGCTTGAATTTTCAAGGGTTATCATAGTAATAAGTTTTTTTTTTTTTTTTGTGGGGTGTGGGATTATATCTATTATGAGTATTATTACTGTTAATATTATTATTGTTATGAACATAATAAATTAATTGAACACTCATACCTAAAAAGTAAAATATAGATGGAATTGATAATATTGAGTTTGTCATTCTTATACATTTAATATGAGGAACAATAAAGAATAAATTGCTACCACTATTACTATTACTGTTATTGTTATTGATATTATTATTATTATCATTATTATCATTATTATTATCATTATCCTCCTCAATCTACAGGTATTCTTGCCGATGAGATGGGTCTTGGTAAGACCATTCAGACCATATCTCTCTTGGCCCACCTCGCTTGTGAGAAGGGTAATTGGGGGCCTCATCTGATTGTTGTCCCTACCTCCGTCATGCTCAACTGGGAAATGGAGTTCAAGAAGTGGTGCCCGGCTTTCAAGATCCTCACCTACTATGGCACGCAGAAAGAGCGGAAGATGAAGAGACAAGGTGAGGTTGGGAATACTCTAAATTCTAATGATGAAAGGAAGATGATAAGTGAAGCTTTGTATGGTGCGTTATCCATGTAAATAAACAACTACATGGAGAGATATGAATAGGGACTATGATTTGACACTTGTAGTCTGAAATAAAAATGGTAATGAGTTGCAAACACAGGTATTAGTCAACATTTTGCCCATCAGCAGGGGGTATCACAGTGATAAGTTATTGAGGTTGTAAATTTTCCTTTATTAACACTTCTCTTGCTTTTGTGTAACAGGTTGGACAAAGCCAAATGCATTCCATATTTGTATTACTTCCTACAAGCTGGTGATCCAGGACCATCAGAGTTTCAGAAGAAAAAAGTGGAAATACTTTATCCTTGATGAAGCTCAGAACATTAAGAATTTCAAGTCGCAACGATGGCAGTTACTATTAAATTTTCAAAGCCAAAGGTTTGTTCTCAATTGTTATTGCTTTTGTATTTTGAATTAATTTGATACTCCAGAACATTTTTCCCCCTAACACACAGAATCTTCCATACTTATTTCCTATCTCTCCTAACCACTCAGACGTTTACTGCTGACGGGAACGCCCCTCCAAAATAACCTAATGGAGTTGTGGTCCTTGATGCATTTCCTGATGCCCAATGTGTTCGCCTCGCATCGAGAGTTCCGGGAATGGTTTTCCAACCCTGTGACTGGTATGATTGAAGGCAATAAGGAGTACAATGACAGCATCATTAAGAGATTACACAAGGTAAGATACTCTGCCTGTGTAGTTGATTATTATTTTCGTTAATGGACTTTTTTTGTTATTGATTTTTACTACTTTAATAACCTGATTGGTAATAAGGAGTAAGGAAAAAAGCTATTGTTAATGAAACTCTTCTGCAGGTGCTGAGACCATTCATATTGAGGAGATTAAAGACCGAAGTAGAGCAACAGATGCCCAAGAAGTTTGAACATGTTGTAATGTGCAGACTGTCCAAACGGCAGCGGTACCTCTATGAAGAATTCATGTCGAGAACCAAGTATGTTGACTGACTTCCTACGACATTTTTTAGCACTGGTGTTGATGTTGCTGCCGTTTTGTCATTATCATCACTATTATTATTATTATTACTATAACTAATTCTTCCATTTTATTTACAGAACTAAGGAGACCTTGGCATCAGGCAATTTTCTGAGTGTGATAAATGTGCTAATGCAGCTACGTAAAGTTTGCAATCATCCTAACTTGTTTGAACCACGTCCAACTGTATCGCCCTTCATGATGGAGGGTCTTCTGTACAGAGCCCCATCCATAGTTTGGGGAATTACTGACTACGATCCATTCAAGGTTAGTTTAGTCACTTCAGGAAGAATAGCCGTTATTTTAAACCTTTTTGTGAATGTTATCTATACTATACTTGTCTGGATAAAGTATGCATTTCTTTTGTATCTAAACTTTTCTGGAATGTGATTAAGTAGTTGAAGAACTGTATTTTTGCTGGTCATTAGTAAATATACACTAAGGATTATTGGAAATTCTTAAATCATTAATTTTTTTCTCTCTCCACAGCATGTAGACCTATTCAGCTTAAATTTACTTCTTGCTGACCTAGAGCTATGCCTAACGGCATTTGCTGCACATCGCATTCGCAAGTTCCAAGCATCCAAAAGACTCATCGAAGAAATAGACTCTGCCCCAGACCCTCCACCAAAGTAAGGATAATTGTTTGTTTTCCTTTTTATAATATTGGATTGTTGTTACGTAACTGTGCTGAATATAATTCTTTAAGTCAATAACTGTAGATTTGGAGGCAGTCTATTTTTTTTAATTGAATGCATTATAAGATTGATATTCATTTATTTCTTGGAAGAAATTTACTTTACAAAAGTGAAACTTTCCATTGCTGATTTATTTTATTTATTTATTTTTATTAATTTTTTATCAATTATTTATTGATTTTTTATTTATTCATTATTTATTTATTTATTTATTTATATATTTATTTGTTTTTATTTTTTTTAGGTGTCCAGCTGGTAAAATCAAGCTCCACGTGCGGCCGTCTAGTCAAAGTGTGCCTAAGCCAGGAAGTTCTCCTGTGACCACTCCTAGAGCACCAACTCCTGTAGGGGCTGTGCGAGCTCCTTTGCAGCAAGCTCCTGCAGTAGCAGCAGCACCTGCTTCTGTGCCAGGTGGAGGCATGAGGTTCCAGCTGGTGCAGCAAGGAGGGACAATAAAAGGTATGTTGATATAGTGTTCTCTTTGCTTATTGTGTGTCATCATCAGTAGTGTAAGTGGATTTATACAATTGTTCCTTTTTGGTTTTTAGATATAAATAATTGGGCTGCCAATAAAAATGTAGTAATTCATCTTTTTTTCATATAGCCATCCAGGTTGCACCAGGCACAGGCAGCAGTGGAATGATGGTGCAACAGACGCCCCAGGGACCACGTTTGGTCATGCCACAAAGAGTGGGCATTAGTAACCCAACTGGTGCTGCCACTGTGGGTGGAGCACCAACAGTTGCTGGTACGTCAGCAGTTGGAGGACTTCAGCTTCTACAAACTTCATCGGGTCAGCTGTTATTAACAACAGCTCCTGTACAAAAGCCAGTGAACCAAACAATGTCTCAAGGTATTATTTTCTTACTCCCTCTGTTTCATATATTGTTAAATCATGGAAAGATTTAAAGTTTTCTGTTGAGTGTGAAAATCAAAATAGTATAGAGTTCATAATTATCTGAAGTGATGCATTTTTTTTTTCTTCTTAATGTAATTCAGGTGTCAGTGGAACAGCAGCAGCAGCACTACTACAGCGTCTGCAAGGGCTAAAGGGCTTGCAAGGTTCAATGATAACAACAGGTGCAGGTGGTCGACCTGTGTTGAGATTACCACTACCTACAAACACTCTGAGACCGCAGACTCAGGTCTTGGGCACCGTTCCTAATCTTGGAGCAACACCAACAGTAGGAGGAGCAACGGCAGTACGTCCTCCTACGACTCCTGTTCAAGTAAGAAAATTTTTTTGTTCGTGGTGATTAAGGATGATATCTACATAATTGGTAATTTGTTGATATTAAATAATGGTGTCTTAAGGAACTTAAAATAGCCATAGAGCTCCCCCGAGTGTTACTAACAATGTCAATAGTAAAAGGTGGTGGTGAATGGATTTTAAATACTTTGTTCAATCGCAGAGTACACCCACTGCAAGTCCTGTGAGGCCTGGACCCTCATCCCCAGCTCCACGGGCACAGACAGCCAATTCAACCCCAAGCACCACGCCCACCAAGGTCATGACGAGGGTTGAACAGCGGGAGCTGGAGCGCCTAGAAGAAAAGAGAAAAGATGAAGAGAGAAAAAGAAGCTTATTTTTCCTTGTAAGAGATACCTTTTTTTTTTATATATATATATATAGAGTTAAGATAATAATTTTGAAAAAAGAGTTATAGGAAATGTGAATGATTGAATGAATATAGTTTTAATGTGTGTGTGTGTGTGTGTGTAAGTGTAAATCATGGTATATATTCATTTTGAAATGAATGTTGAAAAGGCAACAAGAGTCACCCCCCAAAAATTTAGATTGCTGAATGCTTGTATTTATTTCCTTTGTGTTTCCACTTCCTTTTTAATTTCTTATAAATAAATAACAGTTTGTTAAAAAGAAAATAATAATAATAATAATAATAATAATTGGATTCAGTAGACAAAGGACTACATGAGTCAGAATTATTAAATATGTAGATTTTGACATTGTAAATCTGATGAGATCTTTAGTTTATCAAAATGTTTCCTACCCATCATGCTCTGGATAACCTGTACTAGGATAGGACAAGACAGGGTACCTCATTGGAAAAGGCCAAAACTCGGTGCCCAGAACTGAGACAGGCAGAAATGGGGTATCACATACTAGGATTAGTGTACTTGATGTCAAACGCTTTTATTGATCTGGGGGGAAAAACAAACAAACAAAAAAAATACAAGTAAATTAGATATCTTTTTATTTCAATTTTCAGAATGATCTGGATGAAAGAAAGCGAAAGAACAGAAAGGACAAACTGTCGCTCATTTCTAAGCTAAACACCCGCCGCTGCCACGCATGCCCCATCTACGGGTCAGATCTGATCGAGGCCGTCAACGTCATTGGGAATATCCAGGGCCTGGCCTTGAGCACAGAATGGTGTGGCCAAGGAATGGTCCATTGTCAGCATGCAACGATGGTCAACCCAAGATATTATTGGTCCCAGACTCAGTCGCTTCACATGATGGTGAACACTCCTGTGACCTATCTCCAGAAGCTGAAGGACATGACGGACAGATACGTGTTCTGTATCCCATCGGTGGTCGCGCCGTACCCTCAGATGCGAATGAGTCATCCACAGCCCTCCAAACTGTGGACGGATGAGCGGATGAAGGTGATCATGAAGAACGGGCTCGGGCCAAGAATGTCGCCATTGCATCATATCATGAATGCTTCTGTTACACAGTTCCCTGATCCCAGACTTATTCAGTATGACTGTGGTAAGTACCTTTAGATTAATAGATACTTGCACATCATTCTCGTGGTATAAAATGAAAAAATGTGTATGTTTTCTTTCTTTTTCATTCTTTCTTTCTTTCTTTAATGTATATTCCTCTGTGTCTTATAGGTAAGCTGCAGACTCTAGATCGCCTTCTACGTCAGCTAAAGACTGGGAGTCATAGGGTCTTGATATTTACACAAATGACAAAAATGCTGGATGTTTTTGAAGCTTTCCTCAATTACCATGGACACCTGTATTTGAGATTAGATGGCACAACAAGAGTTGACCAGAGACAGGTAAGTTCATATTTACAGTGTAGAATGGACTGACATATAATGTGCAGATACTTCATTCAAAATATAAGTGATAGTTATTTCTTAAAAAGAAATCTCACATATGAATATTTGATTTTTGTAGAGCATGTAATTTCCATGTCAGACGGTTTTGTTTTTGTGTGACATGTTGTCATGGAATCTTGTTTCCTTTTATAGGTTTTGATGGAGAGATTCAATCAAGACAAACGCATCTTTGCTTTCATTTTGTCAACTCGGTCTGGAGGTATTGGTGTGAATCTCACTGGCGCAGACACGGTCATATTTTATGACTCAGATTGGAATCCAACCATGGATGCTCAGGTGAGGAAAAGTAATGCTTTGTATACCCAAATCCATAAACAGTCTTAGGAATATGAAGTATGACTAAAGAGAATTTTTTACATTGCTAGAAGATTAGCAAAACTAGAAACTATCATTGTTCCAGTAAAGTGGCAACAGCTTACATGATTTGACATTTTCCACAGGCTCAAGACAGGTGTCATCGTATTGGACAAACCAGAGATGTGCACATCTACAGACTCATATCAGAAAAGACCATCGAAGAGAACATCTTGAAGAAAGCCAATCAAAAGCGCCTTCTTGGTGATCTTGCAATTGAAGGTGGCAACTTCACCACGGCACACTTCAAGAGGGTGAGTTACAGTTGCATATCAGTTTCACTAAAATCACTATAATCAGTTTCTATAGAGGCCGATAATAGTATTTAGGGAGAGATTTGGTTTACTACATTCTTTATTTCTTATGCCTACAGACTAAATTTATTTATCTTTAAATTGGTTTAAAGGAGAAAAAAATTATTTGTATCATTTTTATTTCAGTCTACCATCCAGGATCTCTTTGATGTTAATGTTGCTGAACATGACGCATCAAAGAGAATGTCAGAAGTTCTAGAAAAGAATGGCGCTCCAGAAGAGGTTTGTTCCTGTTATTGTTTACATACTTCTTTATAGATTGTTATAAATTTGGAGACATTTCATAACTTTTTTATACATATTCTCGTGAATCCTTACCTGTTTTAGTTTCAAACTTCTTTAAAGTCCAATAATAACGGTTTATTAATCCATTTGCAACAATTGAAATGAGCACTGAATACCACAGAAAATAATTATATATATCCCCCCCCTTACTCACTCTTTAAAAGGCACTGTGGTGGCTTTATTATATGTATAATAGAGTTAAGATTAGTAGTAATATAATATTTGCTAGAAAAACATTCCTAAATGAAATATAAATTCAAGATGACACTTCCTTATGGGGTCCATTTAATCAACAGGGCAAAGAGTACTCTGAAGGAGAAAGAGTCAAGATGGGAGCATTTGAAAGTGCCTTAGCTGCTGCCGAGGATGAGACTGATGTTCAGGCAGCCAAGACGGCAAAGGCAGAGGCTGCTGCAGAGTTGGCCGAGTTCGATGAAAACATTCCAATTGAAGATGGAGAAGGAGGAGAGGAATTGAGCAAGGCTGAGCAGGAGGTAGCACTGCTAATGAAGCAGGTGAGCATTGATACCAGAATACCTTTTTTTTTTTGCTGCTGTTGTTGTTGTTGTGAAGTCACCATTGTTAAAAGGTGTAAATGTCTTTTCACTATAATTTTTTTGATTTAGTAAAAATCAAATTTATATAGGTAATCATATATTACTTGATCTAAAATTTCAGCTGACTCCAGTAGAAAAGTATGCCATGAAGTTCATAGAGTCTGCTGACGATGGTTGGGCTGCTGAAGCAGAGCGCATGGCAGCAGAAATTGAGCAGCAGAAGAAGGAATGGGAATTAGGGCGCCTGCAAGCTTTAAAGGAGGAGGAGGAGCGTTTGGCCCACAACTCGGATGATGAGCTTCTGGCTTACTCTTCTGCCGATGCACACAATCAGGTCAATATGAAGAAAAAGAAAGGTAGAAATAAGGGCCGTCCAAAAGCCAAGGGCCTGAAAAAGGCTGAGGTTGAGTCCTCCAAAGTTGAAGTGTTTGAAGAGAGGGAGAAATGTAGTAGGTCATCATACGTTAGCACAAGTGACTCTGACAAAGAATCAGAATGTGAGAGCAATTTTGAACAGCCGTCAGACAGTGATAGTGGGGAGGAAATGTCAAGTAGTGAAGAGGTCTATAATCCAGTCAGACACAAACTGAGAAACAGCAGTGGAGCAAGTGCAACTAGCAGGACAAGTAGTGAAACGTCAATGCCAAAATCACCCCCACCAAAGGTCTTGTTCAGCACCGTGTCTGAGGATAGTCCAAGGACTCGGTCAAGAGGTCATGTCAAGATCAACCTCTGGACGCTTGACGTAAATCCTGTATTGCCAGGCGAGAGACCAATGCCTTTCAGTAGAAAGCAGTTGGCCAACCTCAGGGATCAGGGCATGCCTATGCCACCTTCAGATGAAAAGGGATCTCCAACACCCAGTGATGACAGAGGGAGCAATCTTAGTGGTCAGGCTGTGAACGGGGAGCTGGATAGAAGGGGAGGGAAGGGGATGGGTAGAGGGGAGGGGGAAGACCTAGACGTGGATGTTGTGGGAGATTCTGGGGACTCCAACACTGTGGATGGAACACAAGTAGGAACAGATGACGGAAACAGCATAGAGGATTTAACGGGGACTCTAAAATCAAACGGTCCAACTCAGATCACCGTGGAGAATGGTGGTGGTTTGTGAGTCTTGGTTGCGTTTCTGCTTGATGGTATAGTTTTTATGATTACATTTTAATTTATTTTTCTATTTTCAGTATTGTAAAGTAACTGGTGCTGAAAAAGTGTCACGTAATAATCCGATTGCAATTTTTATCTCTGTGGAAAGTTGACAAATCATGTTACGGAAGAAAAATTTAGACTGTGATGCTTGTAAATATTGTAAATTTCTTGTACATCACACAAATAAATGTCTGTCCCTGAATGATGCTGATTGTTTTCTTGGTACACCAGTTGTAAGGCCCATTAAAGCTTGTTTTGGTGTCATGCTTATCCTGACAGCAACCACACTTCAGCATACACTAGCTGTATGGTGAAGATGGTGCACGGCAGTATTCTTGGTCACTTTTTTTTCAAGAAATAACCAACTAGGTTATCATCTGTTATCATCTGATATTAGGTCATAACTTAAACCCTAAGCTTTTTTTATACACAGTTACTTAATTCATTTAACATGTATCCCATTTTTTCCTTTTTTTCTAGTTTATAGTGATAATGGCTAGAATTTTTTTGCCCTTACGTTTCCTGACCCTATGTTTGGAATGGCAGTGGCAGTAGTATTATTGTGAAGTGGCTGTTGACCCTCCATTCTGCTGGCACCAAACTGGCTGGGCCTTGCCATACCAAACTGGTCTATACCAAGATACCAGCAGCTTCAGGGTAGGCATGGCAACCAAAATCACAGCACAGACTCTTCCATCTGCTTCATGCAAAGTGGATAAAGTATCCATAAGTTTGACAAGCGG